AGAATAAAACTGAAGTCATCATCTTAGAATGAGGTGGAAGAAGAAATTTGGGGAGGTTTGAGAAAGGAAGCGTGAATGGTACAGCATCCTTGGGAGAATGACAACATGACAGGAAAAGAGCCTACCTGAGGTTGGTGGTCATACATTTAAAGTGAAATATTTTATGTTTTTCATTCAGCCCACTGATGCAGGTGCAGAGTAGGTGGAGACTGAACCACACCTGGCATTTTCCAAGTGAACGCAATATACTCTTGAGATAGTGCACAAGAGTGAGTGTAATGAGCTATGGAATCTAAGTGGAGTAATGAGGGAAACGAGGCTATGAGGACGTTAACCGAGAAAATGTGTTCAGGTTAATGGATTGAGTGCTTTGAAGGGTTGAAAAATGGTGAAGGTGGGAGTAGTAGAAGAAGTGGGCTGGAAACTTAGGAAGTAGAGATGGTCAGAATTGGGACGATGGAAATTGAGATCATACAGTTGTTATTAAGGACAACGTCTAAGGTTTATCTTCAAATATGAGTGGTTGAGATAGGGTGGAGAACAGGACCATTAAACCATGGAATCAACAAGAGGTGATTTAAAGTATTGCTGAGCCATCAGGTGTCTCACCTTGGACGATGTGTGCGTGGAGTAGAAAAAGCTGCACATGATTGGGCAGAAAGATGTCCATTGACGAACACAGATCTGGGGCTTAGCAAAGCAGGTCACTGAAGTTTGGACATCAAGGGATGTCAGGATGGTGGTAGGACAGTTCTGGTGATGTCCACTAGTTCTAAACTAGCCTAGTCTTCAGCCGTAGGAAGAGGTGCTAATGGACTGAGCAAAATGAGGTCAGCCAGAGCTGCAGAGTTGTGAAGATTTAGGTGTGTGTGTGTGTGGAGTCCTTACTCTTTCTAGAAGCAGGTTCTGACTATGCTTTCTTTCCTCCTACCCAGACACCACATTTCACCCATTCATTCCATTTCACATTGTTTTTATCTACTGTCATAGTTGGAATTGACACACTGGTTCAGCTGAAATGTTCTGAGGTTTAAAAAATTAACTTCTGTAAATTGGGGAACAAACGTTGTCAGATTTAGGCCAAAGTTGTAGACCTGGTGGGCTTCAATGTCTCACATCTGGCACAGATGTGAGGACCCCGGCCCACTAGTTCAGGAGCCATAAGGGAAGCCAAGAGATTCATTCTTTCTTTTAACAAATAAAAGGGAGTACTTTATGACATTCAAACTCTGATGAATCAAAACTAAGGGCAAAGGGGGAGAGACAGAAAAAGAAAACATTTTGAAACATTCTTAAAATGCTCAGTCACCATAGAGCATTTAATCACTAGGTTTAAATCAAGGTTTTCCCACGTCTGTCTGTGTGACCTTGGACCATTTTCTTTGTCACTTGGGGCTTCACTTTCTTTTTGAAATGCGTTGGAGTTCATAAGACAAATGTACTATTGGCTTTATACTTAAATATTTTATTATTTACAGTTTCATAGTTTAAAAATAAGACAGAGGGCTGCCTGGCAGGCTCAGTCAGTAGAACATGCAGCTCTTGATCTTGGGGTTGTGAGTTTGAGCCCCATGTTGGGAGTAGAGATTACTTTTAAAAAATTAGAGAAAGATGAGCACTCCATTATTTTGCAAAGTAAATGTATTACATTGTTGCTTTCTTTGCAAATTAAATAATCTGCCTCCAAAATATAACTAAGTTCTCCAAATCTGAATGCTGGTTTATTAGATCTTTATCCCAGTAGCCACCTGTTCTTATCTCCTACATTAAGTTTTGGGATCCTTCACTCTAGCATTTGAGTGAACAAGAATGTGGTAGAAAAGGATGGCTTAAAAGGCAAAGGGAGGGATGTTTTGTACCTCAACAGATTTCCTTTGTCTGGATATTTGGGGTAAACATTGGTAACGCTGTAGTGGGTTCAGGCTGTGTGGAGGCAGGGAATAAAACTAGATAATACTTTAAGATTCCTTGTTTTGATTTTGAAATAATGAGTAAGAATTTTCATTCATGCACATTATTTCTGGTGGGGTCTGTCTTCTCCTTAGAGCCTTTTTGTTGATGAATTGCACACATCATGTAGTGACATTCAGTTTGCCACTGTTCTTCTGGATTCACAGGGGCAATGTCTTAAATGAGGTGTTTATTGTTGCCGTTTCAGGCACAGGAACATGGGAGGGGATGGAACTGTGTGCTCAGCCAGATGGACCGCTATCTAGTCAAATAGGACTGACTCTAACAGGCCATGTGAGGCTCATTTCCCCAGCTGGCTGAACATGGCAACCAGACCCTCAATAGAAAATTTGCTTCAGTGCTTCAAGCCATTCTTGGAAAAAGGTGGCTTATAAGTGTCCATTTGTGTGTTCAGTTAATATGTATGGATCTCCTAAATGGTGCCTAGTTATGGATACTTTTCCCAGTTAAGAGAAGGTAGTACCTGCATTATCAAATGGGCCAATATTTCCTATTCATTCAGTGCCTGGTATTTAGATAGCATCTTCCTTGAAAGAATTAAAATTTTCATGTATATCTCATTTACTCCTAAAGTCAATGTTTTCCAAGTTCTTGAATTGGCTAGTCCCTTAATGAGGCAAACTATCCAACAAGATCGCCATGCCAAGATTGCCTATAAATTAATAAAAATAACTACAGAATATAATTTATTAAAAGAGCTTTGGTTGTCTTTTCTCTACTTTCTCCTCTTAATTCTTTTCACAGAGGTATCCAGGTCCTTTGGGATAGCCTCATGTTAGGAATTTTGGTAGAGCTGAAAGCAAAGAGACTCCCAAGTAATGGTTTTTCCCAAACTTGTAAAAGCCAAAGCCCTTTGAGAAAATAACATTAAGTGTCCCAGAAGGAGAGTATAGTGATTGAAAGATTTTTATTTTTGTTTTTGTTTTTGTTTTGAGGGCAAGGAAAGAGAAGAAAAATCGCCCAAGGTTGAGGAGGAAAAGAGGCCCCTTCCCTCAAGTAGGCCTGGGATTTCTCCCTTGTAGGAGTCTCTCTGCAAAGATGGCTCCATAGTCCATCTGCGAAGGCTGACCTCACCAAGTTTGCCATAGACGATGCTGGGCTTGATGGAGTCGTGTGGTGTCTCTGTAGTAACCGGCGGGGGCTATCTACCAAAGCAATGTTGTGGTGTGATGGGAAACACCAAGAACCTTGAATATTAGGAGATAGTAGGAGGACGTGGCAGTTGAATAATGTCAAAGTTGAATTTTGAGCACTTTCAGGGGTGGGTGGAGCTCAGATTCAGACTTGAAGTGATGCAAGGAATATACACAATGGAGTATTACTCAGCCAAAAAATAATGAAATCTTGCCATTCGCAACAACATGGATGGAGCTAGAGAGTATAATGCTAAGTGAAATGAGTCAGTCAGAGAAAGGCAAATACCATAGGATTGCACTCATCTGTGGAATTTAAGAGACAAAACAAATGAACAAAGGAAGAAAAGACACCCCCCAAAACCGACTCTTAACTATAGAGAACAAACTGGTTACCACAGGGGAGGTGGGTGAGGGGATGGGCAAAATAGGTTAAGAGGATTAAGAGTACACTTATCATGATGAGCACTAAGTAACATACAGAATTGCTGAATCGCTGTATTGTACACTCAAAACTAACAACACTGTATGTTAACTACACTGGAATTAAAATAAAATAAAATAAAATAAAATAAAATAAAATATAAATTTTTTAAACCTTAAACAAATGATATAAAGGAAAATTATGAAACACAATATTCCTTACACATCTATATTTGTGGACTAGTGTTCATTCCTATTACACTAACGTTGCACATAGTTTTGCAATTTTCAAAATTGTTTCCTTACCTTAATTACTTATGCCTTAGAATAAAGATATGAATAAGCACTATTATCAGCCTTGCTTTATAGATCGGAGAACTGAAATTCAGAGAAGTGGCACAATTTGCTCAAGAACACATGGCCAAATAGTGGCAAGGTCAAGAATCAAGGTTAGATACATCTGCCCCTAAATTTCATTTTTTTTTTTTCAATTTGACATGCTGCCTTTCTAATAGGGAAACGAATACCATTCATTAGGTGCTCCTGAGGAGATTGCTGGAGTTATTTAAATATAACTGAGTTAATTTAATCCACATTTAACGATAACAAAATCAGACCTCCATCACAGGTTCTCAGGTTCCTTGTGGGAGAAGTTTACTTGGAATTTTCCACCCAACTGCTTTGAGACCCAGGATCCATCTCAGGCCCTGGGCATTCCTCTCTTCCTCAAGGAGTCTACCCACCCCACCTTGGTCTATCCCTTAGGGCTTCACCACTGTTATGCAGTGGGACATTCTCCCCAGGTTTCCCCTTCCATGCGGTCCCAAATACAAACACAGGGCTCTCTTCTTCCCTGAAGCTATGAGTAACTTACAGAGAAAGAGTCAGCTCATGACCACTTCTAACAGGAGGTTGTTAAAAGCTTATAAATTTCTTACAGCAGTGGTCCCTGTTCTCTTAGCATGGCAATGTGGCCTCTTAAACCTGAAATCTCCAGCTTTCATTTTGCTTCCTAGGCTGCAGATATTACCCAAGTAGAATAATAAGTGCCATCATTTCCTCACTGTTCTTTAGCCACTGCTTTGGCTTTATTTCCCACAATGTCCAACCTAGAATCTGTGGCTCATCATTTCCAACCTTATCCCATTCCTTCATTCTCCTTCCTTTTTATCTACCTAATAAAACACCAATCCTACCTGAACCCCACATCCTCTTTTCCCGTGTCTACACCAGAACAGCTGAACAAAACAGCTGAAAAAATTAGATACTACGGCTGCACGAAATCTTACAGACTAGACAATTGGTTTCACCATAAATTCACGGCCCATATCTCACATGAGCCTTCAACAGTGCTGATCAATATGCTTCATTTCTCCAGGCTTGGATTTTGCGAAAGAAAGAAAGAAAGAAAGAGAGAGAGAGAGAGAGAGAGAGAGAGAGAGAGAAAGAAAGAAAGAAAGACTGACTTCCTACCTTGTCCTCTTTGCTGAGGTGTTCCAGGTTCCCTTCTCCCCTCCTCTCTCAGATAACAGCCATGGTCCTTCATTCCTCCTACCAGGTGCTGGCCATGGTCCTTAATTCATCCTACCAGGTGCCGGCCATGGTCCTTAATTCATCCTACCAGGTGCCACATCAGAAGCACGGGCATCCATCTTCTCCTTTCCTTCGGCCCCAGTGGAGGAAATGTTTCCCTTCCTGCCGCAGGTGCATTCCCCAAGTTCATGCCCTCTGCCTCCTTTGGGCATCGTCTTTTCACTCTCCTGCACCACCGGTGCCACCTACTAGGAATCATTCTTTTCACATATAATTGTAATTATAATTAATATCTCCCATCTTGTTAAACCCCATATTCTCCCTCCCAGCTCCCTCTGCCCTCAGAGGACATGCCATTGCTCGACCCCACAGCAAAACTTCCAACGAAGTTGTCCATATGCACAATATTTCCGCTTCCCTGCTTCCCAGTTTCTGAAGTCCCACCCATGACCCTTCCATCAAAACTTGTCAAGGTCAACAGTTGCTTTCCTATTCCCAAAATTAGTGCCCAGTTTCTTCCCCTTATTTCTTTTATTCCCTCAACAGAGCCCCATCCCACAGATGACTCCCCTATTCTTAAAGCACTACTCTCTCCACTTCCTTTCCAGCACATTTCCTGGGGTTTCTTTATCTCACTGTCCCCAGTATTCTTGGTCTCCTCTTTCTTCTTCACTTGAATGAAATGTTGTCTTTCCTCCACGTTCTGTCTGGGGCTCTTCTTCTCTCACACTTTCTTCCCAGGTAATCTCAGCAATTCCCATACCTTTAAATATTAATGATACTGAAATCCCCAAATAGTAGTTCAGCTTTGTTGAGCTCCAGGCACCAATACTGAACCAGTCTGTCCTGTTTAAATGTCAAAAACCCTTACCACATCATTCAAGGCAGAAATCTGCAAATCAGCCTGTTTTCTCCCTTCACCTCTACTGCTTAGTCACAATCCATTAACAGGGCCTGCTTGCGTCTCCAAAAGTGCAACTATCTTCTTATCTGCCTCTCATCTTATCTCCATTCTCACTATCTCCTCTCACCTAGACTTTTTCAAGCTGTATCCTGCTGTTCTCCTTTCTCCCAATCCTGTCTCACTGCAAAACGCTGTCCCATAGCAGCAAAAATAATCCTTTTAAAACATGAATCGGGGGGCGCCTGGGTGGCGCAGTCGGTTAAGCGTCCGACTTCAGCCAGGTCACGATCTCGCGGTCCGTGAGTTCGAGCCCCGCGTCAGGCTCTGGGCTGATGACTCGGAGCCTGGAGCCTGTTTCTGATTCTGTGTCTCCTTCTCTCTCTACCCCTCCCCCATTCATGCTCTGTCTCTCTCTGTCCCCAAAATAAATTAAAAAAACAAACAAACAAACAAACAAACATGAATCGGATCATCTGACCCCCATGTGCTCGGAACCCTCCGAAAGCTTCCCCTTTCACCAAAGGAAACCCAAACTTCTTATGCCCACAAGCTGCAGTTGACCTGACATTTCCTCTGACCCTATCCTGTGTCCCTCACCTGCTTGCTTACCCTGTTCCGGTTACCCTGAATCTCTGTTAGGGCCTCTACACATGCTGCTCCTTCTGTCAGTAACTTCTTTCCCCAAACTCATCCCCCTGCCGTATTTTCTCAAAACTCTTAGAGAAGACTTCCTTTTCACCCATCTAGAATGCTCTGAACCTCAGCTCCTTATTTACTTCCTTCTTTGGACTTATCGCAATTAATAATTTTTTAGTTCTTTGTCCAATTACTTGCTTGTACTTGTTTACCTGTTTCCACAATAGACGATGGAAAATAGGTCAACTTTGGTATTGAGCTTATAAGGCATTCAAAACTTGTTCCAGATCCTACCATCTATTTAAAAAAAAATTTTTTTTTTAAAGCCTTCATCCTATGTCATGAATATCATAGATGAGGAGGGAGAGATTTTAGTCATAGCAGACTGAGGTCCATTAAATCCAGATGGGCTGGCCCAACTGGACCAGACCAGATCATAGACTTTCAACTTGACTTCTTGAGCATGGGTCCTAGGGAGTTTTGCTATGTCAGATCAAGTGGATAGAAGTCACACTTCCTTTTTATGCAGAGTGACTGACACCTACTCCAAAACACACAAGTCTGTCATTTCTGACCATCTGTCATGTCTGACCATCAGTGTTATACTTTTTAGCATTCTTCATGACTACTTCGGGAGTCCAACCTTTCCCTGATCTGATTTTGTGGCTTAGCCATTAGCCATTATGAAAATCAGAGTTAACGGAGTCTAGCCTAAAATAGTTCGTTGTGCCATATGGCCAATAAAAAGATTATGATAACTGATGCTTTTAAAATACACCTTGGCTTTGACTCTACGTGGCCGATGAAATCATTTATTTTTTTTTCAAGGCCAAATACCTGTGCAGGCATTGGGGGAGTGTACTTCATAACTGACTTCTCATTGAGTTACGTCTAGGAGGGCTTTCTAGTCTTTTTAATTTGATTTGCATGCCTATAAAATTTCAAACTTTGATAATGTGTGATTTAGAACAATGTAGGAGGCGTACCTCTCCCATCCACAAAAACTTATTTAGAATCATGGTACTTCCATACAAGACAATATACTCAGCAATAAAAAGAAACAATCTACTGATACATGCATTAACGTGGATGAATCTCATATGCATCATATTAAGCAGAAAAAGCAAATTTCCAAAGGTCACATATTGAGTGATTGCATTTATGTGATATTCCGGAGAAGACAAAAGTTCAGGGACAGAAAGCAGATCAGGGCTTTGACAGGGCTGGGGGCATGGTCAGGGGGTGATGGTGGTATTGACCACAAAGAGGCATGAAGGAATTCTCTGGGATAATTGAACTATTCCGTATCTTCATTAAGGTTGTGATTATAGAGCTGTATGCCTCCTATGGTACTTTTTATGTGTGGGCTTGGCTAGGCTATAGTATCCAGACATTGGGTCAAACACTAATTTAGGTGTTATTGTGAAGGTATTTTGTAGATATGGTTAACACCCACAACCATTTGACTTTAAGTAGAGGAGATTATCCCTGATAGTGTGGGTGGGCCTCATCCAATCAGTTGAAATGCCTTAGGAGCAGAACAGGGATTTTCCTGAGGAAGAAGAAATTCTGCCTCAAGACTGCAGCATTGATTTCTGCCAAGATTTCCAGGCTGCTGGCCTTCTTCTGTGGACTTTGGACTTGTCAGCCCCCACAATCATGTAAGCCAATGTCTTCAAATAAATTTCTCTATCCATCTCTCTCTCTCGATGTGATTTCCTACTGATTCTATTTCTCTTAAGAACCTAACTCGTACAATGTGTTTATCCAAATGCATAGAAATAGTCACCTAAATGATGTGTTCTACTGTATGCAAATTATATCACAATGAATCTGGCTTTCAAAAAACTGATTCACAATATTTATCAGGATTCAGTTGGTAGGAGGTAAAGAGAAAGTGTACACGTGCGGGTGTGCAAATGAACGTGCCTGTGTCCATGGGCACTTGCCATTCTGTGTTTTTCTGCAGAGGCTATGAGGAAGGCGGTTGCATTTGAAAAAAAAGTCTTTAAACATGAAAGTGAAGTGATGAAAAGAAGAAGCCGTCTGTTTGTAGTCTGGGCTGATTAGGAGGTTGTTCGACAGCTAAAAGAGGCAGCACCAGTGCAACAGGGCACCAGTTGGTTTGTGTCCGTGTACTAATGAGTCCTAACACTTGGGGAGGGAAGTCAAATTAAAATGTAACTATGATTTGTTGAATACTCCCTATTCACCAGAGGCTGTGCCGGGCGGCTCAATGTGAACAAGGTGAATAAAACATGGTTACTGTCCTCAATGCGCTCACAGTCTAGTGGGGAACATAATTCCACAAATAACCATCACCCTGGACACAGAATGTTAAGAGACATCAGCCAGACAAAGAAAATTCCACAGGAGGAAAGGGGGCAGGGATATCATAGTTGAGCGAGAAAGTCAAAGAGGACTTGGCAAAGTTGCATGTTAGCTGGATCAGGAAACAGGAATAAGATTTCAAGAAGCAGAAAAGGGAGAGGGGGAAGAGGGTATTGGGGGAGGAAAGAACAGTACAAAGATGAATAAACAAAAGTGCAGATCTAGGAAAACATGGACTGCAGGAACTGGGAGCTCCAGCAGGGACAGGGAGAGTAAGTCCAATTTTGTTATTAATTCAATAAATACTTGTTGAGGGCCTCCTATGGGCCAATTTGGCAAGAACACAAGGTATGCATATAAAAGAGTAAAAGACAAAACTGCAAAAGGGAAGGCTAAGGTGAAAACACTGGTTAGACAAACGTTTCGTTAGAAATAGCTTTAAAATATTCCACCTCTGTTTGAGAAATGAATAAACCCTCTATTCGAGAAATGATGTGAAACAGATCACTCTGTGCCTTAAGACCTAGTGAAGATTTGCTCAAGCCATCATTCCACACCTTATTAAATGTCCCATGTCTTTCTCGACGGGTTTGCTAATTCCCGGGTGCTTAGTCATCTTCACTTCTGGCTCTGATTTTCCACCACCCTTGAATCCTTGTTTTCACATTGCGCCTTCCAGCTATTCTGTGTATTCCACCCCCCTCCCCCAGCCTTTCTCGTGTCCCCAAGAAGCGGGCTCCTGTAAGTTTCCACTCATTCCTGCATCATCAATCTCGCCCTCCCTGCTGCCTTATTCCAACCATACTACAGACCCTTCATACTTGAAAACCCTTCACCTAATGTCTTGCTCCAGCTACTGGCTTATTCTGTGCTCCTCTCCGTGGAAAAATAATTCAGTATTTGTCTGTCCTCGATGTCTCCACTTCCCTTACATCCCTTCTTCCTATTTAACAGATGTGTATAGTGTAAAGAAATTGTCGGGGCTGGTCTTCTCACTGGGGACCCCTCAGACGTCAGTATCAAATGCTCAGGTTTTTAGAGAACATGATAACCCCTCACATGGCCTAGTGTCTCTTATTCTAGAGTCTCTTTGGTCTTATTTTTTAGAAACAAAAAATTTCCCTTCTCCTATGGAATATGTTGGAGGAGGCTAGAATTGTCATCTGGCTGTGTGGAAAAGTGAAGAGGAACCTACTGTCTACAGAATTTCAAGCCAGTCTGGCACCTCTGGGTGGAGGCACCTAGAGATTAAGAACAAGAAGCTGCTATCACCCATCCGATGAAGAAGCCAAGGTAAACAGCCTCTGCGGTTTTTTGCACGTTATGCCTGAGCAGGATCTGAGGACTGCTGTCTACAAAGCTGCAGCCACCGCCTATGTCTCCAGCAAACGCAGGAGAAGGCATTTCTTCTCCCTGTCCCTCCCTTCCTATCTCTTCCTTGCCTCCCATGGACAGAATCTTCTCTTTGCTCCTCCAGTCCTTCCAATAAATGTAGAATAAATGCTCTGTATCAAAGTTTCCTTGCTTCAGTATCCTGGAGTGGTTTCCAATTTCCTGACTGGGTAGGGACATGCACATTCTTCCCTGCCCCAGTTACTCTGTAACCAGTACCACTGTGCGAGTCTTGGCAGGACTGAGCGCTCTCTGAAATGATCTTGCTTACTTTTGTTCACTTGTTTGTTGTCTCTCTTCCTCCCTCTGAAGGCGAGGACTGAGACGGGAGGAATCTTCTACTGCCAGCTTCACTCTTGTATCACCAGCACCTAGAATGAAATCTGCCTCATAGTAGATGTTCAAGAACTATTTGTGGAAAGAATGAATACACGCGAAAATGAGACTTGGGGACGCCTGGGTGGCTCAGTCGGTTGAGCGTCCGACTTCGGCTCAGGTCAGGATCTCACAGTTCGTGGGTTCGAGCCCCGCATCGGGCTCTGTGCTGCCCTCTTGCTCAGAGCCTGGAGCCTGCTTCAGATTCTGTGTTTCCTTCTCTCTCTGCCCGTCCCCCGCTCACGCTTTGTCTCACTCTGTTTCTCAAAAATAAATAAATGTAAAAAAAAAATTTTTTTTTAAAAGAAAATGAGACTTGGACATTTTCTTGGTCCACACTTAAAAAATTATCAACAGAATTCTTTTGGACCTATGGACTTTACTGATGGTGTGGGAGAGACGGAGGAGGTTTGCAGCTTAGAGACCGTATCTTCTTTATGTCTTTCAGACACTGTGTTATTCACTCTCCATTCCCTCCTCTTCCAGCCCCCTCCACAGCACCTCCCTTCAGAGCACACCTACCCAAATTCATCCTGTGGAGGAACAGTCTCCTCTCCTCCCTGCCCCCCACATCCACACTCAGCTCAGGGCTTACCTTTGAATACCCACACTTACCAGTGCTCGTATTTTCCTAGAACTGACCCCTATCAACCTCCCCTCTCTTCTGCAATGGAAAAGTAGCAGCAGACAGGGTTTGTTTCCCCCAACAATATACACTATACTTCTTTTCTTAGAAGGCAAAATACCTACCATTGGTTTCAGTTTAAAACATTAAAAAAAAAATTAGTTTATTGCTTTTAGATAGATATTAAATTAGGAAGGTGTCCCCAGATATGGAGAATAGTGGCAGGTAAGGATGGTCGTCCCTCTTCTGAATCAAATAGTACATGTTAAGGGTAATAAAAGAAAATACAGATCTATAGCTGAGCTCCCTGGCTATTCTTTAACTGCATAGGCCCACTACAAATTCAAATTCAAGGAGTAAGAAGGGTGGGCACGTTATGTGACGCTCAGGCCCTCCACCTTCCGGTTTAACAAAGAAAACTCTTCTGATTCAAATGATTTCCAAAGTCAGAAAAATGAAACTCAGCGAAGGGTGTGTGTGTTTATGAGTGTTGCAAATCTTGACAGAAGACACACAATTCCAGACCTAATTTGAATGCACATCGCTGAGAAAATGCACGGACTTGAGAAGTAACCTTCAGACAAGGTCGGAGTCAGTAGCTCCTTCACCGCTGGGAACCAATCGCAGGACTGGCCATTGCCAAGGGGGCTCCAAGGCCCGGAGGCGGAGGCGTAAGTTGGCAGAGGTGATGGAGAGGGACGGAAGCTGGGAGAGAAAAATAGAAAAGAAAATAGGGATATTTGAATACCATCAGACGTCGCTTCAGGTACATTTTGCTGTCTTAGCTGTGTGAGTCAGCCTGGCCGCAAACAAGCTATAAAAGGCACCGGTAGGGCCGGCTGCAGAGTGCGTATTTTGGGTCCGCAGCCCTGCCCACGTTGGAGCTCCCGGTGCGGCAGCTGCGCTTTCCCTAAATAAGGCACGGGCTGCGGGCACCCCCAGGGTCCAGTTAGAGCCACTCATCTCCGAGCGCCCCCCCCCCTCCCCGCCTCCAGGGAGGGGCAGGGGGAGTCACTAGCTTATTTGCATAATAGTCCTTACTCCCGTCCTCAGCGCTTCGGAAAATGAGAGTTGAACGTCAAGTAGAAAATCTTGTTAATCAAACTCAAATGCCTCGCTCAGCCAAGGAAACGGAGTAAATGAGCTGCTGCGGTAATCAAGTTCCAATTCTTATCTAAAGTCAGGGGCAGGCCGCCCCAAGGAGTGGTTATAAATGTGGGCAAGTCTCCCCCTAGTGGACGAACGGCATCACCTTTCCCTCGCAAGCCGGCCTCGTCCGGGTGAAACAAAAATTCACAAACATCCGGAAGAGAAGCAGCAAAGGAAGCAGCAAATGTGTTATTGTGACATACATTTCAGTCTTGATTTCCAAGGGGTTCTCTTCGGTGGGAAAACACAACTGAGTTGGAGTTTTTACCCACCATTTGAGAATTTTTACCCTTCGTGTGCTAGTTATTCAACAGCTGGATTTGACTGCCTGCCTCGCCATGAGGAAGGGTAAGCAGAGAGAATGCGCTTTTCTAGAATTGGTTTTGAAAGGCCTACATCACTTCCAAGGGGGTGCTATATTCCGGGACAAGCCAAGGAGGTCTCTGGCGAATAAAGAGTGATTGGGGAAAGATGATCCTGCTGTCATGGACGGTATGAGTCCTGATGTCCTTGCCCCTTGTACAATGGTATGTCAGTAACCTCACCAGACTGACAGTCTGTCATGGGGCATCCTTGTATGGGCCTCTTCTGCCAACTCTACCTCTGTTTGAACCAACAGCCATGCCCTCTACTCTTCCAAAAAGATAGACGAGGTGAGTCATCTATGTCCTTGACTGTTCCTGACCAGCCCTTCCATAGTCTGCTCCAGCCATTCTTGACTTTCAGTAGGGAAACCTGAATCTACAGATGGCCCTCAAAAGAGTTTCTGGGATTCTGAATATATCTACAAGTGCACTTTTGTAAGTGTGTGTGTGTGTGTGTGTGTGTGTGTATGTGTTTGTCTTTTTGGATGAAAGCTTACACACTGGGAATTCATGAGATTTTCACAGTATCTGTGACCTAACAAGCATTATAAAACACTGATGAAAAATCTCACTTCACTGGAAATCTCACTCCACTAACCACGGCAGCCATAGGGTACTTAAGCTGCAAGAGTCAGAATGTCGAAATTCAGATCCAACTGAGATTCATTAGGAAAGTAACTTTATCTCTCCAAGCCTCAGTTTCTGCATCTGTAAAATGGGAATGATAACCATAGCATTTAATCCACTGACTTAATGCGAAGATTAAATGATACAATGTATATAATGCTCTTAGCAACTTTCCTGACACATAATTGACTCAGTAAAGGTTGGACTTTATTACTCTGAGGAACCCCTTTAAACATGTGTAAAATGTTAGGTTCTTTAAAATCCCAGTGTGTGTATCATGCACTTTCCAACAATTTTACGATTTTTTGGATGAGGAAAAAGGGTTATATTTGTGTCTTTTGTTAGGAAAATATGTAATTTCTTTAAAATAACCTAAGTATCCAGAGTGATGAACTAGGTCATAGAATTATATAGTGATATAATTTTAAAGTAAATGGAGATGTGGATTATCATCTAATCATATGTCCTTCAATGCTATTTTATAGATACAGTCATCAAGATGCATCTTGAAGAAGGACTTGTACAGGTCACTCCAATTTTGTGGCCACAATCCAGGACCTAATTCTGAGCTAGTTTTACCACAGTTCTCAGAGACCTTTTTAGCCTTTTTTTCTCCCATTTCACGAGATTCTCAAAGGTCTATAAAAGAGAAGATTGAGAATGCCTGTCCTGTAGGAAACATCACCATCTATCAGAACTCTGTTCAAATCCCTGACTTCCTAGACCCTTTGGATCAAAACCAGTATTTTTTTCCCTCTGAGCATTGTGTATCACAGTCTCCTCACTGTTTATCTTACTTTTATGATGCATATCACATTATATTTCTCTTTTTGTCCCACTAGAGCATAAACTTCTTGAAGACAGGAGATAATGACCTTGAATCTAATAGAATCTGACAAAATAATGTTTCACGAAGGAAAGGGGAGAAGGTACAAAGGTATTGAAGGGCACCTATTTCATTGATGAACTTGAACCTGAAAAACTCCAGAGGACCTAAGGCCCATCACTCATTGCTGACACTTTCTCCTGGCGTCATCTGGAAATAATATGAACTATAATCAGCCTGTAATCACGGCCAACGGCACAGAAAGGTGAGAGCTGGGCTGTGAGAAAAAATCCAAGGCCCATTCACATCTTGGGGACAGGACTCTAGAAACTCAGAAGGGCAAAAGATGAGATCCAAGCCTGAAAATAGAATATATAGCAAGGATTGTTTCATAAGAGCATGGCAAAAGCCTGGCTTCTTGATCTAGACCCGCAAGTGAAAGAACAGAGCTGAAAAAATGCCAGGCTTGGTCCATACATCTGAGATTGGACAGGACCGAAGGAGGGGCTGAGATCTCCAGCTTTGAAGATGAGTAGCCATGTGGGAAGAAATCAGCTAGGATCCGATGCTCCCTGCTGTATCTTCTGCTGTTTCTCAGCCTTTCCTCTTGCTTCACCTCAGATTCTGCCACGATGGGAGAGGCATGGCCACACTTTCTGCCAGGACAACAATTGTCTTCTTGGAGTAAAGGCTGTTAACGTGAGCTTAAATCCTTCTTTGCCTCCCCTGAATGAATACACACATAAAAAGGGGCTGCAGAGCGTCTGTGTGTCTGAATAGAGGATCTGTAGGTTTCATGAGCTTCTCGGAGAGGTCTGTGACTGAAAAGGAGTGAATAGTAGCTGCTCTAGTCTCTCAAGTCCTCACCGCTCCCCCAAGCCCTCCCAGAGGGATCTTATTCCTTTCAGATGTCTAAGAGTGACAATTTTTTTTATCGACTCCCTGGACAGTCTTCCCTTTTGTCAGACCAGGAGCTGCAGACACCAGTGTCTCAGGGAAGATTCCCCAAAGTTGCTGCGCATCCAGTGTTCTGCGAAGAGGATGCTGAATGTCTGAAAAGGCAGTCTGCCAGAGAATCCTAAAGGAGCCTAAATCATCACTAACCCAAGAGAAACTCATGAAACACAGTGCAAACTTGTTGACCCCAAAGTGTTCCTTTGACACAACAGATAGAATAGCTCACAGAAAGTTTGGGGTAATGTGCTGATAGTCATTAGGAATGAATCGTAATTCATTCATCTTCAAGTCAGCTTTTGATCTTGACAAAAGGCAAAAGCTACTTACTTCATTGTATCTTTAAATTATCTGGAGACCTGCTTTTCAATAGCTGGACAAAAGGGGTGATGTGTTTGTATCTTTTTCACCAAAGAAACTCACATTCCAGAACAAAAGGACATTGTCAAGATTCCACTGCTCAGAGACAGAGAATTTACAGAGTGTTGTTTGAGGTTCCGGGGTTAATTAAGCACTGAAATTTATCAGAGAGTAGCATGAGATGGAAACATTTATTTTCTGTGGGATTTAGATCTATTCCAGCCTTTAGTAAATTGCAGGTGTTACCGCAGTGCCCAGGTCCCAAGAGTAAGAATAAAAGAGAGTAATCTAAATGCTACAGCGGATTCACTTACCCAAATGAGTAGCTTTTGAAACAGCATTTGGGTCTCCTCTAGTGTTAGATGCCCAAATCAGTAAGGTTACCCTTCCATCCACCGTCTCCTGAATAAAATCTGCTGTGAAGAAGGAAGGTAAATGTCAGTGGAAATCAGGTTGATTCCTAGGCATTTGAGGAGAAACTGTGTCTCCAAGGACGCTGGTGTGGACAGTTGACATCTGTGAGAGACACGGCCGGGTGCCTGATGAAAGCCATCGTCTCTTCTGTAGTACCACACAGCCATTTTGCTCTGAGATGTTAAAGAACACAAAATTACATTGTCAAACTTTGTTCAAGCTAAGAATGATGGTAGGACACAATCCAGGCTGCTGAGACATAAGCAGAAGTTGGGAAATTTTTTCCAAAAGGTGCAGCTAATCTGTGCCTTTTGACCTCTGCTCTTCCTCTTCTTTCCTTCTGGAATGGAAACAAGATGCTGAAGGTGAAGGAGCTACCTGGCACTGACCAGGAGACATGCATGGAGACAAAATTCACAATGCTAGGAAAAAGGTAGAAAGTGCTAGGGTCCTTGCTAGGGCCACAGAACCACCCTATCAACCCTGGACTTCTACTTCCAGTCTTTCTTTGTCATACAAGGCATTGTCTCCTACTTGCAACCAAATGCAGTCCCTATAAGATGCAGTGTCTCTACTGTCCTGATGCCTTGAGGCTCCAACCCCCCCCCCAAAACTTAGATGCCAATCAGGAGTGAGAGAGAGAGACAGTGGGAGAGGGATGGAGAGATATGATGAAACTATGTTTTTTTCTCTCTCGATTATCAAATTGAATTAGACAACAACATTTCTGGACCTCAGTGAGAGGGAAGCTCAAAAAAAACGAGTTAATTTTTATTTTAGAAAAAATTAAAGGATTTATTTTGCACATTTGCTTTACAACTTCTAAAATTCATACATGCTACAAAAGCGCAGCATAACGAAGAGCTTAACTACAATGCACATTTACAAAGAGACCCTTACTGGTGGCATCTTCTTCCTAAGGCCCCAGCTGTCCCTCTTTGCTGTTTGGGGGCCCACTTTTACTCTCTTTGCTGAGATCTTTCTACTATCTTCCTTTCTCTCCATGTCCCAGGGTCTTGAAGCCCTGTCATGTCAGCTGCCCAGAGGAAACATTCAAAATTCCTATTAATTTATTTGGTAGCAACTTAGCCTCCTATGTTGTATCACCTCCTATCTCTTCCATTTCATAGTGAACGAATTGGTAATACACTCTCCGTGACCAAACGAGCAGTCTCCGGGTTCTCCACTTTAGCTTTGCCTTGACAACTTCCCAAGCCTCTGACTAAGTTTTTAGGCTGGGCTTAAGGTCACAGTAGGAGGGCTTTCCTCCTCCCAACCGTGACTAGAAGCACAGAGCAGTGTGCAAGGGCAGGGCAGTCATGTGGAACCTTTATTCTCTTAACATTCCAAAGTAACTGCATGTAGGTTAGGGGTTTTGTCCCCTCTTTTATTTTTTTAACTTTTTAAAAAAGTTTATTTATTTATTTTGAGAGAGAGACAGAGGAAGACAGAGAGGAGCAGAAA